TATATCTATGTGTATCTATTATATGTGCTGCACACTTCTTTGTATTGTTGTGTTTTGGTTTCTGTGGGATTTTTGTGATTTAAACCCCACTAGTGTGTCCTAGCAGCTGTTTTCTAGCACCACAAACTGTACCTTTTCCTTTGGTTTTGGTCTAGTGGGTGCTGCTCGCTTGTTGTGATGATCTTAGCCGTTGTGATTATCTTCCCACCATTCCATAGGAAAGCATTAGGAGGCTATTGCGCATTTGTGGCAAAATGTTATGCTGCGCCTCTCAGCATCTCCATGCAGAGGTGTTACTAGGCATCAATGTAAACACTGCCTTTTCTCTGAAAAGGTCAAGATGGGTCTCATTCACAGAATTAACGCATAAGATAATATCAGGGTTAAAGATAGCTGAGTCAGGAACAAAAGGACTATCATAAGCATAAATGCATTTAAATGCTGTGAGACCATGAAAAGGATCCGTTCCAAAAGCAAGAGAGGTTTAAATACAATCGTCTCAGTTTTGCTCATGTGCATTGTGTCAAACAGGACGCCAACAAATATTGATAAGAGACGTACCACCATGGGTACCTGCTCCCATAGGCCAATGTGGCCCTGATTTTTCCATAGCGCCTAATAATTTTTTACTGTTTGCTGCAGCCTATAGGGAGAATGTCTATAGGCAGAGCTATTCAACCAAACCAAGAAATAGAAATAATAATAATGGATAGGTAGACAGCACAACTTAAAATGTAGAGCTCCCTCTTGGCCCTACACACAAAATACAATAGTAAAAAGGATAGGGAAAGGTTGTACCAAATCCCTCTGAGAGCTGTTTTACCAACCATCAACCGTGAATAGAAATAATTATACTATTGACATTGAAAATGTTTTTAATTCTGAAGAAATTTCACCAACCCATATTAGATCAAGTAATTACAGTCAACAAGAGCTTGTTTAGAAAAAGTTCTAACAGAAATAAAACTGAAATGGAAAATTGCAACGCTTTAAAAATATATTGACGAACAAATAACCCCAAGAGGCTTAAGGTTTTTTAAATTACCTACCTCAGACCAAGAAGATGTAGATTTGATGAATGAGTGGAAAAAAAATGAATTATGCACTTTGGGTTTAATGGAAACCTTAATTTTAAAAAAGAATAAAAAATTATTGTTGATAGATACTGAAATAAATGACCTCAGGGACAAAATATTTGCCTTTTTCCGAGACACAAGTTTTCAAACAAAACTCTATTCTAATACAAAATAGCACAGAAAAGGTAGAAATGGACACAAAACATATCAAAGTCAAAAAAATACATTAGAGACAAACAGGATAATGCCAACAACAAAGTCAGAAGAAAGGATAAGGGCACTCCAAAGGTTCAATTTCAGGCAATTTATTGTCACCAGAATGTGCAAAGCAACGTTTCGACCAGTGTGGTCTTTATCAACCACCAAAGACAAATGAAGAGTCACTATTTGGGACAAACACAATCTCAGTACAACAGAGGAGATGAAAGAAACTATCAATCACCACAGAGATATCAAAGAACATCTCACTATATCTCAATAAAACAAGTACCATCACCAAATTACCATAACTACCCCACTCAAAGGAAAACTAACTCTAAGATATATGATCCACCTGCACAAAGAAAAGACCCCTATGATACCACCCCAAGATCACAAAGACAGAGATACAATTGCCAGAACAGTGATCACACTAATCACAACAAATCCCTCAAACTATAGCCACCACAATAGATATCAGCTATTATCTATAGGCTCTGAAGTTGATAACAAAGAGCATTTTTTTAGAGATCAGACCTAATGCAAACCCACTTGCCCAAACACAGTATCAACCAAGAACAAAAAAGAGAGGAACTTAAGCACAGAGGAAGGAAGAAGGGAACAAAAAAGACTGGAGAGACACTGTTTTAAAAGAGCAAGATCATTCAATGTTTAACCTATCACAAAAAGTTTTAACCTTCACCCAAATCTTAGGTTTAAGCAAGGACCTAAAATTTGCCCCCACAAACCCTTTTAACCCATTTCAAGCCTTCTTAGATATAAACAAATTTGTCCACATTAAAACTATTGTTTATCAGCAAAACCAATGCACCTGACACTTTAAATAATACTAACAACATTTTTCAAAAACATGGTTCTAAAGGATCTTGAAAAAACAAATTTGAGAAAGCCAGAAAACAAAAATACCAATATCACAACTTGTCCCGCAAAGCACAAATTGCACTAAAGGAACTACAGAAAGATGATAATATCATCATAAAGCCAGCCGACAAAGGGGGGCGGTTTAGTAATACTCCCCAAAATTATGTACATAAGCAAAGCATTAAGACAACTCAACAACATAAGTTTATGGCAAATTGAGTTCAGATCCCACCTCCACTATTAAAGAGACTTTAAAATATTTTTTATCTAAAGGTTTAGAATCTAAGATCCTTAAAGGACCACTATAGGCACCCAGACCACTTCAGCTCAATGACGTGATCTGGGTGCCAGGTCCATCTAGGGCTAGCCCTGCAGCTGTAAACATAGCAGTTTCAAAGAAACTGCTATGTTTACTTTAGGGTTAATCCAGCCTCTAGTGGCTGTCTCACTGGCAGCCGCTAGAGGCGCTTCCCACTGCGCTTCTCGCTGCCGTCCATAGGAAAGCATTGAGAAATGCTTTCCTATGGACTGATTGCATGCGTATTCAGCGGATGATGTCAGAAGAGGGAGGAGAGTCCCTAGTGCCAAGGGAGCACGGCACTGGAAGAAGGTAAGCGTTTAACCCCTTCCTCCCCCTAGAGCCCGGCGGGAGTGGGACCCTGAGGGTGGAGGGGACCTAAAGACCCTATAGAGCCAGGAAAACAAGTTTGTTTTCCTGGCACTATAGTGGTTCTTTAACAAAAGAGTTTGACTATTTAAGTTATACCCTACCCCAAAATCCCAGTAATCAATTTCCTGCCAAAAATACATAAAAATGAAACAATCCCCCCCTATTGTCTCAGAAATAGACTCCATACTGTCAAATTTATAAGAATAAATAGACATTTTATTGCAGCCCTCAGTCAAAATCCCGAGATCATATTTAAAAGATTCAATGACCCTTCTCTGTTCTTATCGATTTTATTTGGCATCCAGATTACATTTTAGTTACCTGCAATGTTCAATCTTTATATACGATTATTCACCATTATAAAGGTTGTGAAGCAGTTTTTAATATAATAAAAGAAGCAAACACTATCCCAGAACAACAGTTCATTTTTATCATAAAGGGGATCAATATGATTTTAACTACTAGTTGTTTTTGGTTTTTAGATTATTTTTATTTACAAAAACAGGGTAATGCTATGGGGACCAGGTTTGCAATCCTTTTTATGGCTGAATGGGAATCAGAGGCCGTATGGGGCATACATGCCTGGAGGGCAAACCTGGTCGCCTATTTTAGATATATTGATAACTTTTTTATTTTATTTTTTTATTTGGAAAGGTTCTGACGGATCTCTCAAAGCCTTTTATAGTAAGAACAATGGTATAATTTTAACCTTGGAAGACAGTAGAGAATGTATTAACTTTTTAGATTTGCAAATTTGTATCCACAAAGGTATTATTAATACTAATAATTTTTTTTAAGAAGGTCTGCACCAACACTGTTATAAACCAATCAAGCTGTCATCATAAACCATGGCTTGATGGGATTTCAAAGAGTCAATGCCTGTGTTTTCGCAGGAACTACTCCCGCACAACAGATTTTAATGAACAAGCCCAGATACTTAAAGATCATTTTACAGACAAAAACTATCCAGTGGAGAACCTAAATAAAACCTTAGTAACAGTTGCACATAATGATAGAATAGACCCTTTAGAACACAAAAACAAAATAAAAACGACTCCCCTCTTATGCCAGTCCTATTTAATTTTTACAATAAAAGCAACATAGTAAAAATAATTATTACAAAACATTTGCACATTTTAAAACACGATGACATATTAAGAGAATTTTATACCAGATAATCCTAGCTTTGCTTTAGGGGGGCCCCAAATTTTAAATTAATTCTCACAAAAAAATGTACTAAAGATTGCGTTAATAAAAGTTCATCCTTTTTATCACAATCAAAGGGCTTCTTTAGATGCAATTGATGCATAGTCTGTAAAAGCACTAACCCAAGTATGAAATCCAAAACTCTGCACTCCTATAAAATACCTCATTTGTTGTAACACAAATAATGTAATATACCTATTGGAGTGCCCATGTGGATGTGGATGACATCAAGGTGCCTTAAAATTAGATTAGCGGAACACTGCCATGACATTATTAAAGGGTATCTTAACCACTCTGTATCCAGACATTTCCTAAAACATGATAAAAATCCTAAACACCAAAAATGCAATATTCCCAGCAGAGGTGGATATGTTTTTTTAAAGTCTTGGTAAAAAATAAATGTATTGGGTCTATCTCCTAAAAACTCTTGCCCCTGCCGGTCTAAATGTAGGCTTTGATCTTTTACATTTATTACAATTTTTTAAACCTTATTAAATATTTGCAATATACCTTTTATTGCTGTCGTATTTTTTTTTCTTTCAAACGAAAAGGATTTCTCATGTTTCTCTAAGTCATTTTTTTGTATTTATTTTTTTAAATTCTTTATTTTTGGTATGCAGGGAGGTACAACATTACGTGTGTCGCCACAACAGCATCAACAGGCTCAATAATCATAGTTATGACAAATGTGTGGCGTGTTAAGTTTGCATAAATTTTTTAAATTTTTACAATAACATATGTAATGGTAAAGAAAACAAGCTATGATCATTTCTTTCTAGGCATTATTATAACATTCCTGGGTACTCACAGGGTTGAGAAATATGTTGAGTGGGTTAACAGTTATGTTTTCAAGCTAGGACAGCAACATTCAATATTAAGGCTAGGATTATATTTAGGAAACAGGTTAACAAGTTTAGTTAAAACGTTTTTAGTCTATTAATGACACTTATACTGTAGGTACCCATGGTGAAGTACGCTTGCTGTGAGTAATTTGTACGAGGTTCTGATATATGCGAACGGGTTAAAACACAATAAAGATTAATCGGTAGGTTAGCTCTGGTTAAATCACTGAGGGTAACTAAATAGATGAGTAAATGCAATCTGCTGAGATTCAGTCAAGCATAAAATTAACTTTGACATATGTATGTTAATATTGCCTGGTTTGGTACCGGCAAGCTGGGTATGGCTGTAAGTCCTGAGGGGGACATGGGTACCTCGCTCGAGGGCACATGGCACTGTCAGCCAGTGCCTCGGCTCGGCAGAGCCATATCGTCCCTGGAGGGTCCCATAGTTAAGGCTTAGGACTGATTAATTTTAGATCTAATAACAATGAGGGCGTTAAGGAAACACACTTTCAGAGGAAAAGTAAAAGTCTAAACATCGGGAGGCCATTTTTAACTTTGCACCTTTTTAAGAGGTGTTTGACTCGCGTGTTGCACATAAACATATTAACTGCAAACAGGTTAAACATGAATGGTTACAGACTGCCTTAGGTTATCACTGATTATTGGATATCTAGACACCTGTGTCCACTGGAAGGGCTAGGTAGTTTGTCATAATAATATATACAAGTTGAAATCATGTTTACAATATATCACAAGTATGTTGATTTTAAGCTGTTGCATCAGGATTAAGGAAACCAGTGTAGTGAGAATTGAGTGGTGATGTCTCTGGTGAATGGGTCTCTTGTGGGTGGCTGGCAGTAGATGTAGAGCGTACAATGCTCTGGAGAAGATGGGTACAGGTGTCCCAGAGCAATATAGTCCCCGTGTTGTTTCTCTACGTTGGGCCCTGTAGAGTCCGTAGTGGTCAAGAATAGGAGAAAGCTGTAGCCCTCGGTATCATGGGGTCAGCGTTAGCCGTCTGTGCTACTGTTGAGGTTTGTCGGATGGTTAGTTGGGCAGCTGTGGGGTACTGTGAATAGTCCCGGCTACTTCGTATTTATTACCTTCCCAGTGTCTGGCGTTGTGTCAGGTTCCCCCGTGGCGTGTGTGGTATCTCTCCTAGGAGGTGACCGCCGCATAAGTAATCGCCGTGGAGTCTCGTGGAATGAACGGTGTGCCCATTGACCAGGTATGGGTTGAAGGAGTATCGTTGGTTAGCTCCGCCTGGGTGAGATGTTCATGTGATATATTTTTCATATAAACCACATCTGATAAAAGTTTTTCCTCTTTTCATATCATTTCTAAAAAATATTTTTGACCATAGACATTTTAATATCCACTAAACAGTTAATTCATATGTAGCGTTCACTAGTTAAATAGTAGGCTATCACATAGAGACTTACCCTTACTAAATATCTCTCAAGCCACTTTCAGATTTACCCTTAACAAAAAACACTTTTGTTTTCCCTATCATTGGGGTTAATACGGTCTTTTACCTAATATACCTCGTAAAACAGAGACACCAAAAATATGGCCGTCACAATAAGTATTTCAGCTTGCCCTCTCTAAATACCATGTGATTATGCGACATTCTATATAGATTCGAGCTGGCCGCGGCCCAAGACTACATTACACATGCTACCTAGCGCCTGACCACGTGGCACAGCCTGACAGCTAAGATAGCCTTGGATCACGTGATCACCTTTTAATTACCAATTTGTAACAGTTACAAGCTTAGTTTTAAATTGTCTTTTTCACTGTAAGCTAATAACATTGTATATAAACCTTTGATAAGTTTAAATCAATATTTTTAAAAATGTTAATATTTTTGTCATGACGTAATTTGGGCACCAAATTTGAATCTATTCTGTCTGTATATAAATATTTGCTTGTCAGATCAGTCTTTTTATCTCCACTTGATAAAGCCTTAAAGGTGAAATGTGTTGTGGATATTTTAATATTTTTAATAAAGGTATTTTGGCTACTTTTATACCGTGAGTGTGCCATATTTTCTTTTATCATTTCATACTTTTACTTCTCTACTGCCTGGCATTCGATTTTAATTCTTCCAGTGAGGACTACTCTAAAGAATTCTAGGTGGGGATTATACCACTCAATCACTACCCATTGAGCAGTTTGTCTGCTCAATCATATCTGAGTACAAAACTTTGTTTCGCTACTCCTGGTGTTTTTAAATACAGTGAACACTATTGTTGTTCCTTTTTATTATTTTTTATGGTCTTCATATCATTGAGAAAACTATCAACTTTTCACATATCCCATAAGTGGGGATTGTACCACTGTACGCTATCCATACTAGAGCTGGTCAAAGCTCTAAAAAAAAGTGAGTAGGACCATATAGATTTTTTTTATCATACATCACTTTCTGGTATATATTACACTATTGGTCTCTCTTTGTTTTTATATACAGAACCCAAGAATTCTTCCGACCTTGTCCTCCCGGCAGAAGAAACTCTCTGCAATACATCACAGTTGTTCCCTCTGGCAAGTTTATATCTGTATTCTTGTGGAATTTTTACTGGACATTTTTATATTAATATTCATTATTTTAGTTTCACCATTCTGTTTTACATATTTACTACATCCTGTTTTATCAGCTTCTCATGTTGCCTACCTGCATCACAGTTATATTGTTTTGGCTAGACCTTCTTTCCCTATCCTTTTTACCAAAAACTACATGTATGTTTTTTTAAAATGTATTATTATTAAATAAGCTTCTTAGAATGCCTTTCCTGTCTGGAGTTGGTTCAATACCATGACTTCATGATCTATGGTAGTTGTGACCAGTGATACAACTTCCTGTATGGTGGGAAGTGTAGGAGTTCGCGATTTTCTAGCTATGAGTTGGGTTGCTAAGGTAAGGATCAGATATGTGATTTTTAGTGCAGGTCTGGGTTTGTCAGCTGGCAAAATATACAATAAATGCATTTCTCTTGAGGGTGGTTTATAAAAGCCTGTGGAGTCTTTTATCAACTGAGCTTTGCCCCCTCCTCCCCCCCCCAGAATTTTCCTATGGAAGAACATGCCCACCAGACTTAGAACATCGTTCCTACTTCAGATTGGCATCTCCAACACTTGTTGCTGGTATTTTAAAATATGTGGGATAAACTGACAGGTACTAAGTACCAACAATAAAGAATATATATTTTTTTTGTAATTAATTTATAGATTTTTTTTTTATTTATAATCCAAAAAACAACATGCACATGACACTGACATATCCAATACAAATGTAACATACTACAAGTTGCTACATCCATAAACACATACATTGAGCGATGAGTTCCTTCCAGTCCAGCGTTAGATATCCTTTTTATATATTATTAGAAGTATTTGAGGAAAATACAGTCATAATCTATAAATTTAGATTGTATGGGTCAATTGGAAGAAAAGGAGATTTAACATATTGCAATAGTCATAGAAGAGGTGATTTTTTTTTTCTATCCATTTTTCAATATACTCCTTAGTTTTATCTTGTTGATTTATCAATCCTTTTTCCATCTTCAGCTGAAACAATACTTGTTCTTTTATTAAAAACCAATTGGGCAATATGTATTGTTTAATATCTGACAACAAGAATTTTTGCTGCCTCCAATATAGGAATAAGAATTTTTTTTTTTTTTTTTTAAAGCTTTTATTGGCGCTAATTAGTTCAAAAGGCATTATAAATATTTCAGGAGCAAAAAGCAAATCCACTTACTGATATATAGCACTGTGGACACCTATTGTGGCCATGTGGTCGCTCTTTTCAGTCCAGAGAGTCCCTCCTATAATTACAACCTGTCCCAATTTAATATGATCAATTTTATGAAACTCTTTTTTTAATTAACTTGGCGATATATTTGGAGCATATATATTAGCCAACATATATTTTTGGTTACAAAAAGATAAGTCCTGCGCTCACTCCCATCACTACTGGGCCGGCAGCAATGACTACAGTACACATCAGCCCCTATATATAGTAAAAACCAAAGAAAAGAAAGTTACCTGCACTCTCTCCTTAATCCCTACGTATATTTAGACAAATGGAGGTCATTTAGTTGCTCCAATGGCCATTGGAGGGAATGCCCGCCTGCCAACGTCAAGGCAGACCCCCCAAGCGGGTCCTAACACTGACCCTTCAGCCTGATTCCTTGAGCTTCTGGCAAAAATATCTCTAATGAGACAGAGAGGGGTATTTGATCCACTGTGCATTAATTGTAGCCAGTCTAATAACCATACTGTATCCATCTTCTATTCTCATCTGGAAGGACTAGGAAACTCATTGCTTTTCAACACTTAAAAGACCACTATAGGCACCCAGACCACTTCAGCTTAATGAAGTGGTCTGGGTGCCAGGTACATCTAGGATTAATCCTGCCTGCTGTAAACATAGCAGTTTCATAGAAACTGCTATGTTTACATATGGGTTAATCCAGCCTCTAGTGGCTGTCTCATTGACAGCCGCTAGAGGCGCTTCCGCGCTTCTCACTGTGATTTCCACAGTGAGAAGACGCCACCGTCCATAGGAAAGCATTGAGAATGCTCTCCTATGGACTGAATGCGCGCGGCTCCTGCAGCGCATGGGCATTCAGCCGATGACGTCCAAAGGAGGAGGAGAGTCCCCAGTGTCGAGGGAGCCCGGCGCTTGAGAAAGGTAAGTGTTTAACCCCCTTCCTCCAACTTCAGCCCGGCGGGAGGGGGGCCATGAGGGTGGGGGCACCCTCAGGGCACTGTTGTGGTCCTTTAAACAACATAAAACAGTCACAACTGTCCTACAATGACCATATGAAGTATGTAACCAAACATTCTAGACCATTCAATAAACATATTCACGTCTACTGGAGAATCACTCTCCCTAACAGACCTGTCAGCAACTCCCTCCTCAGAGTGTCTACTAAAACCCTTAACTAAGCCTATTGGTTCTGAATGGAACAGTGGCTTACTCCCTTTGGGCCCAGTTGTTTGGCCCATGTGTTCCTTTGCCACGTTCCTATTCTTTAATTATTTAGACAAGGGAGAAAAAAAATAATTAATAAAATAACTAAATTCGATATTGTCATCTATTTTATTTATGTCTCCAACCGTTTACTTATCTATGTTGGTATTTCGATATCTGTTGAGCAAGAGGTACTGCGGCCTACCACACGGGCACCCGACCAAGAGACATTGCCGGAGAGCTGGCAACATGGCTGGAGACCGGCAAACAGCAAGCCACCCCGACTACTACTCACAGCAGGAGAGGGGACAGAGGTCCCAGAAACCAATGCTACATGCACCCCAGATACAACAAAACCTCCAAAAATGGTGTCAGGTTGACCTTAAAGGCTTAGCGGCTGAAGTACAAACTATCACAGCCCGCACCCAGGTCACAGAAGAGGTGCATACCCTACAACGAGGTCTGAACGACCTAAGGGACACAGTGCAACAAATGCAAGCCTCACACACCGCGCTCACCAGGCTAGTCACCCTACTGGACGACAGAGGTAGAAGGAAGAACGTGAAAATCAGAGGGGTATAGGAATCAATACCACTAGACGAACTGCCGCACTTCATACGGCGCCTTGTGCAGCGGTGTATCCTGGTTTTGTGCTGCCCTAGGCAGGACAAAACTCAGACGCCCCCCCCCAGCACACGCGACCCCCACCCATCCCTTCCCCCCGCCCCGCCTTCTAAATACACACACACTCACTGACAGGTACGCATACACTAGCTAACAGAAACATAAACTCACTGACACACACAGACACTCACTCACTCACTAGCAGACACACACACACACACACACA